ATATTAATTTTATTGATACACGATAAATTAAATTAAATTAAGTTTGAATAAAATTTAATTTGTAATTTACTAAAAAAAAACGTATGGAAGTGTTTCCCTTCGATTTCGATGATCGTTGAAATTGTAAGAGATAGAAAAAAATGTTCTGAATGAAAATTGAATGATTGAAAAAGTACTTTAAAATAATAATTAAAAAAAATTTGTTTAATTCAAAATTTGTTTAATTATAATTATTAAGTATCTACTCTTAAAACAATTCAACTTTTATTTTATTATTTTAGATATTTTTTTGTATCTCTTACAGTTTCAACAATATTCGCTTTGAAAGATAATAAGCGATTTTTTTCAAAGAAATGTTGCAAACTCTAAAAATGCGATTGGCCTTTATAAAAAAATACGTATCTCTGGTTTCTGTTTAAAAAACTACATATTTAAAGCTTATCAAAATTAGAAGGAAACGGTTCTTTGGGTTCCTTGGATTTCCTTGTAAGTGCACACGTTAATATAAACGTTGTTCACTTTGAAACTATCCATAAAAATGGTTACATTTTGACACGCGTAAAAGTTAAAAAAAAAACAAAATGTTAATATTTAATCAAATGTTATTTAATTCAAGGCATTGATCAGTTACTATTGCTCCTGTGATATCTAACAGTGTAACAAGCGATGGCTTACATATGACAGAATAATTCATCGATACTTCTATATCTTATACACTGAGAAACCCATTTAGTTGAATCAACCAAGGATTTGTTTGCCCATATCCAAACAAGAAATTAATTGATGCAATAAAATAATTTAGTTGAAGCAAAGCATTTGGTTATTGTAATATTTCATTTGTTTCTAATAAAATTGACATTTAAAGTTGTTTACAATAACCAAATGTTTGGCTTCGACTAAATTATTTTATTGTCAACCAAGGATTTGTTTGCCCATATCCAAACAAGAAATTAATGGATTCAACTAAATGGGTTTCTCAGTGTAACAATTTTACCAAACTCTATTACAATGCAAAATTTGGATGGGCGATGAATGAAAAATGGTCGACAAATTTCCTCTGCTTATAGGCTATCCCAAACGTCTCTCGTCTTATCCTATTTTATAAATCAGGGAAACACAGCCGAGAGGAAGACGAATTTCCGGAGTAATATTGGAATGTAAGCGAGCAGTAGGATCGGTATTCGATCAAGGCTGGCTCGTGGCTGTTGCGTTAATAGCTCGTGTCTCCATATCTCGTGTTAACTGCTCTTCGGCATGTTGTCGGCAATGTTAATTCGTGCTTACTTAGCGGCGATCCTTGTCGCTGCGAACCGCTGCGGATATCCGTTTAATTCACTTTGTGTCGACCAAGAGAGACAGAGGTAGAGAGAGGAAGATCGTCTCTGTTCTCAGCTTACAATTAGCGGACCGAATACGCGTATCGTCCTTAAAGCAATCTCCAGACACATTCCCAAGTGCAAGTTTATGAACTTGCAGATATACGTATCCGCAGGTATACAATCGTCTCAGTAGTTCCGTTGAAGTTAGTTATTAACTTTACGGTAAAGGGTTATGTGCGGAACTAGAAATTGCTTTAGGCAACGAGTGAAAAACGACTCCGCGTATCGTGTAACGATGTCGGATATTTTATACTGATCTATCTCGTTCCATAGACGTGACAACACGAACCTATGTTCTGCGTGGTATCGACAAGTACACCCGCATTGATCTGTCCCATGACGTAGGCGATTTAAATAATTAGATCACGATTGTGAATACACTGCGCGCATAGGACCCTATAAGCGCGGCTTCTGTGAAAATTTAGTTGGTTCACGTGGCACGTGACGCGCCGGCAAAAGCCGAGTCAATAGAATAGTACGTAACATCGTCGGGGTCACTGTTGGCCAAGCCAAAATTACGTTCTTGCTTTGCTCGTGCTGTGCCCTACGGTATCCGCATGGCGAATAATTAAACGCGCAGAGAGAGGGTGAGGAAGAGAGTGAGTGAGTGAGTGAGTGAGTGAGAGAGAGAGAGAGAGAGAGGAAGAGGGAGAGGGAGAGAGAGAACCAAACCAAGCCAATACATTTGGGGATTGTCTGAAATATTTAGACTTGGTTTGCGGCAGTGCACCAGTGCCATCCGTTGCTGAAATTACTACTTGCTGGAATCCCAAGACATTTCCCAACGAAAAATAGGGCACCGGATTATGAGAATTGAGAAACGAGAGATCAAAGAATGGGAAAATCGATCATAAGTCGAAGATAAACTCTAAATTGTTCAAAACTCGAAAACTAAAATTTTAAACTTTCGCCAGGATATATTTGTACTACGCATTTACAAAATTTATTAGATTTTCTACCCAGAATACGCTAAACCGAATCGATAATGTTACTTTACAATATTTTCTAAAGATATTTTCTTTTCTTGTTTGCGAAGCATCATTTATTTATAACGCCACGATGCTTGCACTCGTCCTGTTTGCTCTTCGTAGAAAACATTAGAAGTGAAAAAGAAAAAAGGAGAGAATAAAAATGGCGAGGTGCAAGCACCGCGGCGGGAGGGAACAGACTGAAGAATAAAGTTCAGTTTCTTTCTATTCTTTTGTGAGTCTCGAGTAGGTTCCTTCCCACGCATTCCTCGCCACTCGACTTTTAAAGCGTAGACGAGCGGCTCGAATTATCTCATTTTCCGTAGGAGTTATTAATTCACGTAATATATGGTGCGAAAATCAGCGATATTACGAGATTTCGAGTGAATTGCAAAATCTTAATTAACATTTGCAAATTCTCGCAATTCTCTCATGATTCTATCGCTGTATTTTTCCTTAGAATTTAGAAGATGAAGATTATAGAACTGTTGACAAGGTTCTAATATCGGTGTTTATATAGAACAAAGATTATAGGACGGTTCTCCAAAACTAAGAACGTTACCATATCACCGTTCAGGCTGATCCACATTCGCTGACTCTATCTCCTTTATTCATCCTTTACAGTCGATTATTTTGCCTCTTCTCGTCCCGTTATATTAATACGATCTTAATTTAATTATCGTAGGTATCTATCCGCGCTTTCGCTGTCAGGTTGCCGCCTCATATTTCGCTGCTTTACGCGACGTTGTCCCAGTTTCTGGACCGACCCGGTATTAACGTGAGATATATCGTCGTGTGTTGAACAAAAAGCGCCGTCGATGTTATTCGTCGGTGTCTGCTTTTGTTCCACGATAATATTTTATGTAAACGCTGAGCTCACGCGTCTTCTCTCTCTCTCTCTCTCTCTCTCTCTCTCTCTCGCTCTATAGAAGCAAATGTTTTATCTCTCTACCGGGTAAAAAAAATTTTTTAAACATGAAAAATTGAGTCGATATGAAAATAGAGTCGATCGCGGCGCACCAGCTATACCGATGTATGTATTTGAAGAGAACCACGCAAAATTCTATTTAATAATAACGTATCTCGTGGATCAGTTTCCATTATGGCGGAAATATCATACGTCGGACTCCCATCAATCCCTCATTGGTGGATTCCGCGCTTTTCGAACGAAGTATAAAGCTGAAATATAGATTTTTTTATATAGCTTTTTTTTTATTTGATTACCACAACGGACGACTGCACTGTGCGGCGCATAGTTTGAGAACAACTTTATTGGTGAGTGCACCTCTGCAACAAACGGTATCGGAAAATGTTGCGAAAGCAACGTTGTAACGTACTGTAAGCGGTGAATAATAAAAATAGTTGATAGTCGTAAGAGCCTATGATGTTATGCCGGCGCACACCGGTATTCAGTTCTCCGATAGTTTTCGCTAGATGGCGGAAAACTAAGTCGCAGCAGTTTATGGGCCTTCATTTATCATCATGTGTATAACAGTTTATCGCTTTCCGACGTGTTCATATTTTCTTTTCGTTATATTTTATTGTACATCTGTTTTTTTATGTATTTAAAAAAAATTCTTTCGTCGCCTGTCTTGGCTCGTCTTATACCGTCTATTGTCCGCTAAAGAGAGCGTCAAGTTTCGAAATTGTACAAACACTTCAAAATAGCGTTGTGGTATTTGGACAAAATGCACAAAGAGGACAAAAACATTTTGAGAAATATAATAGGATATGAAAGGATAGAAAGAAAAGTGAATGTAGGTACTTTAACGTCTTCACATTTCGAATGTCTTTGTTACCGTTTTTATGTATGATCTTACAAGCATGATTAGATGATTAAATTCATAGCGATAATTGTATATACATATATATACATAAATTTTTATATGTACACTGAGAAACCCATTTAATTGAATCAATTAATTTCTTGTTTGAATAATGGGCAAACAAATCCTTGGTTGATACAATAAAATAATTTAGTTAAAGCCAAACATTTGGTTATTGTAAACAATTTTATCAGATGTCAATGTTTATCAGGAACAAGTGAAATGTTACAATAACCAAATGCTTTGCTTCAACTAAATTATTTTATTGCATCAATTAATTTCTTGTTTGGATATGGGCAAACAAATCCTTGGTTGATTCAACTAAATGGGTTTCTCAGTGTATAATTCTATGGAATAATATTTTTTTAAGACAATGTGAAACAATATTGAAAACGGACGACGAATACCGCGTCAAAGTAACTCCTACGTCACTCCGGGTTCTGGTCGCTAATAGTTCTCGGTTTCGAGAACTTGAAGTTTCTCAACATATCCCGCTTCGTCCCGTATCCTCCACGACACAGGAGCGTAATTTCACTTTGAAACGTTCGCAAACAAGTTTACCGACTCTCAAGGGTCGCTAATGTCTATATATTCGATGCAAGATGCGCTTTAATCGCACTATATTAATCGCTCGCTGGGTAATTACGTCTCGTTTTTTGAATGGCGCTTTTATCTCGCATAACTCAATGCGCCCCGAAAGAGTATTGCATACGACGTTACGTAATTTGCAGCTCAGAAAACTTTCTACTAATTAGTTCTTCACTAGTTTTCCCTTTGAAGGAGGTGACTCCTTTCCACATTTAATTTGGTTCTACTTTTGGTTTCAGTATGCGGCGACATTCACGGACAGTTCTACGACCTGATGAAATTATTCGAAGTGGGCGGTCCACCCTCCTCGACTAAGTATCTCTTCCTAGGCGACTATGTGGACAGAGGTTATTTCAGTATCGAAGTGAGTATGTGAACAGTAGCAAGTAGTTTCTATACAAAAAATATACTAAATTTTAATAAATATTTAATAAAGATTTTGTTTGAATAGTACACTAATGGTACTTGCATTAAATAAATATATGTTTATTTACATTTGTTAATGTTTAAATAAATATTAATTTGATTTAACAATCATTTTTTATCGAGTAAATATTTATTTACTCAATAAGTATAAATAAATGTTTAATTAGTGCTATTGAAAAAAATATGTATTAAGATTTAGTAATTTTTTCCTTGATATAATTACTAAATCGACACAGATATATTATATAACTTTAACTAAGAGTTTAGAACAATTAAGAGTTGTCTTTAAATACGAAAAGAACGATTATGCTGAAGTCTAACAATTTGATTAGATATACATCTAAAGATAATTTTGTTGGACTATTAAAATAATTACATAGGAATCTCAAGTATCACGAGTAATGCTACAAAAAGTTTTGATATTCTAGCAACCAGTTTGAACGTCCTATATAATTATTTTAGTTTAACAAAATTATTTTCAAATCTATATCTAGTTGAAATTTTTGATACTTCAATAATATCATCTTTTCCGCATATGCTGTGTAGCTGTGCTATTTGCATGTACTTTTGTATCTACAAATAGGACAAACGTATAAATGAAAATTTATTCCTTTATTCTGATTGTCGGGGAGAAAGTTTCATCTCGAGAATTATGTGAGAGCACTCACTCATCGGATTTTGTAATTAGCGTATGTTCTAATTAATTAATTATTAAATCGCTGGCTCGCTCATCCAGCTTAGCGAAAGTGTATAAAATCGTTAATTCTCTGACAATGAGAGGTTTGCTTTGATGCTACTCGATTGTCGTAAATGTCCTGACACATTCAAAGATTATTAAAATAGCTAATTAACAAATTGCTCATTAACATTTACGAAGTTCTTGAAAACTCTGATTTTTAGAAACAAACAATCAATTACATTGTCCGACAAGAAATAACTTTTGAACACCAAAACAAGGTTAATCATGTTCTCTAGTTTTTTGGAATATGCTGAATATGAATCTGTTTTCCAAATTGTTTTACATTACATTTTTGAAAAATTTGCAGTTAAAAGTTGCTAAAAAGAGCTGTTTATATATTTCGTATATTTTGTTACATACTATATAAGTATGATATGTATGACGAGCTGGAGAATTTATTGCAAAGTTTAGTTGTTGAGATTTTCAGCTTTCAAAAAGACTTTTTAGTGTCAACTATGGTTAATAAGACATTCATGGTTTAAATTTACAGAAAAGCTTTGAATTGATTGTTGATTATTTATTATTTATCAAATGGATTCTAATTACACATTTATTTAAGCTAAAAGATTTTTAGGTCACTGAATACAAATAATCCGATATTAAAAGTAACTTAATTGACAAATTTAGAATGACAGGTTCAATATGGCGGATATCAAAACATGAAAATGTCCGGGTTATCGTAAAAATTTACATATAAAAGGTCTTTCATGATTTTTAACTTATTAATTTTGATATGAGAGCCAATACTAAAAAATTCGTTTGATGGCTGAAAGTTCTAACGGCATACTTAATGTTGATTGTAATAAAACTTCTCTGGCATGTCACATACCGTAGTTATAACATGATAAAATACCCCCTTATTACAATTTTAACTGAAAATTGCGACGTGATGGAGTAATTTCTCAAAATTATGACGTGATGGAACAATTTGGAAACCGGATTCTTATTCAATGTCCTAAAAAGCTACGGGAAATGACTAATCTCATTCTGATGTTTTTTTTATCGAACAGTACGTTATCAAATGTATTGCATTAGATATGGTAATCGCGATTATTTCGTCGCGATAACAACTCATACATATTCTTAAAAATTAGAAATGTATAACTCCTTGCCAACAATTTTACATAAAAGTATAACTTCTTGTCTACAATTCCACGTAAAAGTATAATTTCATATCAACGATCTTACGCACGTCAACAATATTACCTAGAAAAGTAATATCCTGTTTGCTTTAGTCGCATCTCATTATTTCTAAAACTCGATTTTTCGTTGAAGACCTTTTTATTTAAATATAACGGCTAGATATCCCCACGTAGAGATAGATACGTTTTGGATTTTCTTAAATAGAGAGTCTCCACTTTGAATATAGAAAACGCAATAGTCAAGAGAGGAAGACTCCTGCACGTGTTCACGTACAGTGCATTTGTTACTCGGAAGTATTATGCTCGTTTTCCTAAATGTAATTTCGAAGCATGCGCGAATAATCAACTTTGATCCGACACGAGTAGTCTATTCTGCGAGATAAAATTTCGTCACGGGCGAGTTCGCTTCATGTCGAGCATAATGCAATATTCCGTCGTGCTACTAAGAACAAGAAAATGCGCGAGAGGAGACTCGAAATAGCGAGAGAGAGCGGCGTCTCGCTCCTTTCTCGCGACGCTTTCGCGTGTCCCGGCGAATTTTTAAAGTAACGAACAGTTTCCTTTTGCGAATTCCAGAAGGCAGTGGAGAAACTACAAAGTTTTAGTGCGATCGTCCTAAACCGCGCGATACACAAAATGCAATTTCACTGCGACGGCGCGTAGATATCTCGAATAAGATGAAATTTCAGGACTCTATTTTTGAAGAAAGTCGATGATACTACAAGTTCAACATTGATCGTAAAATTCTTGAATATACTTGGAAGGAAAAGCGATCTTATATTTTGTTAGTAATCTTATATTTTGAAGACTTTACGTCTTTCGCCGTGGATTTATTCGTCTGTTTTAATTTACTCGGAATAAAAGAAATATTATCAGTTTCAAGATAATTTTTATTTTTATTTGCAATCTCATTCATTGATTTATTTGAAAAAAAAAGGCTGTGGCAAACATTCGCGAGATATAATTTCTGACTTGTAATGAAAACTACCAGGATTTTACGCAGCAATCTACATGGCAGTGTAGAAATTTACGGAAGAAATAGGGGACAATCCAATATTGTACGTGGTATTACACATGGCGCGCTGCGTATACCCAAGATTTAAATATATTCTCCGCGAAGTACATTTCGCAAGACAGCGCGCGGGCAAGATGGCTCCTTTTAAGAAAATCTCTTGATATATTCCACGGTTGCCGTTATTCAGATCGAGCTACGTCTTCGTAGATTCTCTGAATAATGCAAGGCGCAGCATGTCGTCGTTGTGAAGCGCGCACGGATGCCGTCAGATTTATGACGCACGCGAATGAATGTAGACGGTCCAAAGCCGTATGCGAATTGCTGTTTCCAATCAAACTGATGAACCGAACTTAATGGAATCTTTTAAAATCGATTGATACATATTTGCGAGCAAACAAAGTAATACCGCAGTAATACAGAGTCTTTCCCAGGAACATTCTTTTCGTTTCAGTTGCTACACGAGTTAGAAGTTACTTTTATAAACACTAATAACGTTAATTAATTATATTGTACTTTTCTCACTTTCTTTATTAACTTTATCTTTGACATTAAATAAATTATTTTTGGTCCGATTGTCAGACCAGAAAAAGAGTCTGATATTAGCTACCAAATGTAGAATGAACATTCCAATAAAATGTTCTCTTAATATAATCAAAAATAATTTTTTTTTTCTGAACATTTAATAAGTATTACTAACCCAAATAGTTGATTGTATTATTATAATAATACAATCAACTATTTGGGTCTAAAGATATTTTAATATTCTGGGTCTAAAGATATTTTAATATTTTATTATATGATTAATACCATATAATAAAAAATAATTTTATTTTTTTTTAATATTCAGTATTAGACCTATAGGTCTAATGATACTGAATATTAAAAAAAAATAAAATTATTTTTTATTATATGGTATTAACCGAACATTTGATTGGAATTATTCACTTCTACTAGCTATTGTTATATTAACAGACTTTTTCTATGTACAGTTTTTATTTTCTCCGTTCGCAGAAATACAAGATTTCTCAGTGTGTCGGTGATATTTTCTTTCTTGGAAGATAATTTTACTGTAGTGCAGATGCGGATGCGATCGTATTTACGTGTTACGTGAGCGCTGATCTAGTCACAAGACATGAGAGTTGGAGTGTAGTGCTATCACTGCTATCTCTCTCTCTCTCTCTCTCTCTCTCTCTCTCTCTCTCTCTCTCTCTCTCTCTTTCTTTCTTTGCTTTATTTTACACGATATTTGAGAGCACGGAGCATCTCGCGGAGAAAATGGACCGCCTTCGGCCACTGGTAAAATGGTATTATAAATCGGTCGGAACCACGTGCGTTCTGGTGAAAAGGGTTTCTGTCGCGTAGCTTCTTGCACTCGGAGAATGCTCAATTCTTCAAGGATGCTTCGTTCAATAGCTGGTGTGGAAAAAGGATTGGTTCCGCGTTTTAAGAGAGTATGTCATTGAAGCACAGGTACGCAATCGCGCGATGCGATACCGCGATAGCTGTGTACATGTATATTCTAGTGTACGTATAGGTGTGTGTTTGTGTACGGTATACACGCGATAGTGATACGTTAAATCTTCGTGAGATCAATATTCTACCTGCGATCCCGATGGCTTCTTCGATAGCAGAACCGAAGCCTTTTCTCCGACGACATGTTCGACGGAAACCTTTGCTCTTGATCATCCCAAGAGATATAGAGGTCGAATCCGAGCTTAAAGAAAAGACACGAATACAGAGGTTTCTTCCTGGAATCGTTCGTTTGAAAATCTTATTTCGTTCTCGAAAATCATTTTCACTGTAGAAAGGAAGTTCCCTTCAAATTTTCTTGAATAATTTGTCACGTTTATAAGAAAAGCACATTATGCAATCGTACAATTCAGAGGATATGGAAGTATAGGTTAACTTCAAAATTATTAATTGTTAAATTTAATTACTAAATTCGACAATTAATTTAACTTGAGTCTTCGAACTTTAGTGCATATTTTTATGTTGTTTTAGAGTGTATAAAAATTTGAGAAAATTCACACTTGAAAGATTTA